CTAGATGCCTCGTCTTTTCGAAAAATCGTAAAAAGGGACACTAAACGTCCGTTTACTTTGAGAAAAATAACTTTATTTTTAAAAATATTTTTTTACTGTTTGGTAAGTTGAGAAAGATTTTAAAATTTTTTAAAATATTAATTAATTAATTTTTTAAATTAACTTGAGATTATGACATTAATTAAATTATTGGAAGTTTTGTAGCAGCACAAATCCCTTCAGAAATTTCATAAGCTAAATTAATATATATATATATATATATATATACATATATGCTTCCACAAGTACCTTCATCTTCATCAATTGAGTAGTAAAAATTTGAAAATAAACAATCACAAACATTATAAGCAATTTCTCATGGTACTTGGCCTTTCGGTCAGCTGGCAGTTTATTAGATTGAGGTGTATTCTTTCACTTTCATGGGCGGGCTTCGAACTCATCCCTTGACAACTTGTTCAAAAAAAAAAAACAATTTCTTATGATTGTGAAGTAAATTTACCTACACAAATAAACTAAAATCAACATAAAGCTATGAAAATTGCATAATTATAGTTTTGAGTTTTTTATTTTAGTTTTTAAAATCTAAATAATCAGAATTAACATTTAAAAACTAAAATTTTAAATTAAAATTACTAATTTATTTGGCATAAAATTTTAAAACAAGTATTCAAAACTCCAAATTTAATTAATTTATCAAACAATTTAATTTTATTTAAGGATTTGTAATTTTTTTTTAAAAAAAAAACTAAAACTAAAAACTTAATATCACAACTATACTAAATAGAAGCTTAGAAAACAATATTTATTTTTAAATTTGATCATTCAAGAGTTTAATTTATACAAATCAAAGTTTACAAAAAAATAGCACATACAAATTTATTTAGAGAAGGAACATAAATTGCGTTGTCACTTCTTGAAATATGTAATTCAAACATGTGACATAAGGCCACCAAGCTTGCAGATGTTGGTCACACTACATTTTAAAGACAGTATCGATAATGAAAGTGAATATGAAAAGCCAGATGAGTGAGAGGAATTCAATACCTTCCCCTAGCTGCTTAACATGATTAATATGCTGACTTGAAAATGCTGCATGGCAAAACATCTCTATCCAGACATCCTTAATCATCTCCCATTTATTATCTGATTCCCTTAAAATTGTGGCTAGTTCCAACACATCTCCTTTTAGATTTTCAAAAGTTCTCTCCCTGCAGTTTAAGAAAAAAAAAAAAAAAAAGCTTACTTGAAAAAAAAAGGAATTTTAGAAAGAAATAAAACTACTTTAATTATAATTTTATAATTCTATGAAAATAAGAAATTAAAGACATTAAACCTAGATTCAAGCTGAACATTATCTGAACTGGAATGTAATGTGGAAGCAACATTTCTTATATCAATTGCAGGAGACGCAAGTTTTTCGAGGTTGTCATAAGCATGATCAAGCCAAAAACTCTTACTATGCTCGGACAATAGCAAGGCAGGACACATGGCCAGTAGATACATCATGTAATTTGATACATGTTTACTAATTTTCATGGTTTCATTATCATGATCCTCATCTAGTAAGTAACAAACACTCGTGGCAAGATGCCATATTATGATGCTGTGATCAAACTCCAATTCAATGCTCCATTTTAGTTGAGCAAATTGTCGATATTTCTGCAATGCCTGTTCTCCTCTTGTTGTCTTTAAGGAGTTCTTTGAAATGCTTGCACAGACGCCAGAGTAATTTTCAACTTCTTGCAAAAATGGTGGAACATCCACAAATTTAATAAACCTGTATTTGTGCCACATTTCAGAAATTTCACTGTCAACAGCGATTTTCAGTTGAAAGCCATGTGATTGGTTTGCCTTCCTTTCCTTGTAACACTGACAATATTCCAACAAATCAAATTGACCCATCTGATTTGAACTGGCGATACCGAGGAGGCGAAACTTGTGGAGAGTGGGAAGTTTTGATGGAAATGGCTGTAAAAAAGAGAAACAACACTCGAGAACGTTCACAGGAGGAGGCCTCTAGGTTTGGGCTGAGCGAGGGTTTAACATAGAGGAGAAGGGTTACACCTAGAACT